CTGGATGCTTCACACAGTGTCTTCTCTTCATTGCCCTAGTGATCACTGAGTTTTATATCCTTGCTGCAATGGCATTGGACCGCTACGTAGCCATTTGCAGTCCTCTACATTACAGTTCCAGGATGTCCAAGAATGTTTGTATCTGTCTGGTCACAGTCACTTATGTGTGTGGCTTCCTTAATGGGCTCTCTCAGGCACTGCTGACATTTCATTTATCCTTCTGTGGCTCCCTTGAAATCAATCATTTCTACTGTGCTGATCCTCCCCTCATAATGTTGGCCTGCTCTGACACCCATGTAAAAACGATGGCAATGTTTGTTGTTGCTGGCTTTACTCTCTTAAGCTCTCTCTTCAGCTCTCTCTTCATCATTCTTCTGTCCTACCTTCTCATTTTTGCGGCTATCTTGAGGATGCGTTCTGCTGAAGGCAGGCACAAAGCCTTTTCCACTTGTGGTTCCCACCTGACGGTAGTCACTCTATTTTATGGAACCCTCTTCTGCATGTACTTAAGGCCTCCATCAGTGAAGTCTGTAGAGGAGTCCAAAATAATTGCAATCTTTTATACTTTTTTGAGCCCAATGCTGAACCCACTGATCTACAGCCTAAGGAACAAAGATGTAATCCTTGCCATGCAACAAATGATTAGGAAAATTTTCTTTCATAAAATTGCACTTTAGGCATTAGTTTATTTATAATCAGTAAGCGCCTGTGATAACGGTTACTTTTTTAATGAACAAACCTACTACTCTATAGTCATGATTTGTTTAACATCATGGACTCTCAGTAACCACTTTAGTTTCTTCTCAGAATACATGATACCAGTTTGGATGTTGGGATTAATTCTAGGGCATATAAAAAGGTGTTCTTATTCTTCATAATCATAATGCCTTTTGAATGGCTCCACTATCCATGCCCATAGCTGGAAATAGTCTTTTCCTTTTCTTTTTTGCTAATTATTTTTTTAAAATTTGTATATATGTTTATCATATACAACATGATTATAATGTGTTTACAAATATGTATACATTGTGGAATATCTAAATTGAGCTAATTAATATATACACCACTTTACATACTTATCACTATATTTGGTGAGATTAATTAAAATATACCGTCTTTGTGACTTTCAAGAATGCAATGCATTAACTACAGCCACCATGTTGTACAATAGATCTCTTGAAGTTATTTCTCCTGTCTAACCAAAATTATATACCCTCTGATCAACATTTCCTAACTCCGCAGATCCAGCCCTTGGTAACCACCATTCTCCTCTCTGCTACTATGAGTTTGAGATTTCTAGATTCTTAATAAAGGTGAAATCACGTGGTATTTGTCTTTCTGTGTCTGGTGTATTTTACTTCACGTATGCCCAATGGAATACTATTCAGCATTAAAAAAGAAGGAAATCCTGTCATTGGCAACAATGTGGATAAACCTGGACAATATTATGTTAAGTCTTTGTCTTTTCTGAAAGCTTACAGTGGTATTCTTGGTTTTCCTTACAGCAATTTTCTCCTCTAGATTTTATTTTTTTTCTACCAGGCTGTAGTTGCTCTGAAAATAAGAATTAATATGGATTTCAACTTGGTAACATGTAGAAATCTACAAAGTTTAAAGTGATCCATTAATGTTTAAAGATGAATTTTTGAATGAATAACTGAAAAGTGATATTAAGTAGAGCTAGTGACTTTTTGGTCTTTCGTGTAAAAAACAATGTTTTCATTTTCACTAGTGGCATAAGATCATTTTTTCTCATGCATTAAAATGGAAAATGCAAGGATACACTTTTTAGACTCTAACTGATGATTAATTTAACTAAAATCAGTTCTGGTAGACTTATTAACATGTGCCACTTATACAAAGATATGTTCAATTTATAATTCCAGAGATATATTAACTCAAACAATATTTCCTCTGGTCCTAACTACATAAACATTGAAATCAGAGCAAAGTCCTAGTACTTTTGGACCAGATTCATAATAATATTATTATAA